TATAGAAATAGTAAGTGCATCTTTGGATACTAGTTGCAGTATTGTTTTGTTTAACAAATTCTTGTTTAGCTAAGTTAGCCAGTTTGCAAAATAGAGTAATTGGTATAGAGATTTGAAATAATGCTTTATTTGGTTAGTCTTTTTGGAATTGTTCACAGTCAAGTTTAGAATATATCTATTCAACTCTGTTTTTCAGAGAGTTAGAAGATTTGGTTATTAGAAATTTAGTAAAAGATTAGTCAAAGAAGAAGGTTGAGATATTTTTAAAAATATATTCTGTGTCAGTAGACAAGATATTGTAGTCTGTGCTAGTATATATGTTGTTATAAGTGGCATAGCTTTCTCAATATACTACAAGTAACATAAGACACGGAAGGAGAACTCCTAATAGTGTTAAAGTGGAATGTTACATCACTGAAGTAGTTCATTTAAAGAAAGCATTTTTGTTAAGGCCAAGGTATACTTTATTAAGATTTAATAGAGGACTTTAGACTTTATTGAGTACTGTATTATTTTAGAACTATACAAAACTATATAGAACTTTATTAGAGAACTGTAAAGAACTACAGAACTACTTTACAAGAGAGGGGAAAAGCTAGGGTTTATATATCTTTTTTCTAAACATCCTCAAACATAGTTAAATATCATCAAATGTAGCTAAATATTATCAATTGTAGTTAAATATCATCAAATATAGTTAAACATCATCAAATGTCATCAAACGTAGATATTACTCAAAATATAAATCCTAAGGTAACTCAAGAACTACATATGCTACAGATATGATTTATAGCTTATTTTGAAGGTCTAATCGAGCTACATCGAATGGTATAACCTAATTCTATTTTTAGCTATTAAGAATTCGAAAGAAATACTAATATATAAATCTAAATATCAAATATAATATAATAATAAATAATTAAGAAAATATGCTAAAGTTTATTTGATAACAATGTGAATATAAAAAAGAGCAGCTTTGGTATATAAGATTGTATGTTCATAAAGAGAATTAATCAAAGTTATTTTAAAGTTATTAGAAAGAAGTTTTTTGTAAGCCTTTGCAAAGTTGAGTGCAATTTCATATTTGATATAGTTGTAGATTTTAGTTTGGTCTATTAAGGAAATTAAAGTTTGTAGATTTTAAAGAAGGGTTCAAACTATTTATCAAAATCTTCTTTATATTTTTTGAGTAAAAAAATTCTAAAAGTTTCTATAAATTGTTGTTTAAGAATATTGAGAAAGATATTAATATTAAATTTGCTATTATATTGTATTTAGAAAAGAGGTTAGTAAATTTTATCTTCATAGATGAAATAATATAATTAGAATCTTTTAGGTTTAATGCTAAGATCCTCAAAAAATTTGTTAGCATAGATAGTTTTGTAATTATCATGAAGAAATAGATAGATTCTAGCAAGATTAATAACAAATAAATTATGGTTTTGAATAGTATAAGAAGGAATTGTGTTGTAGAATAATAAGATTTTTTAGTAGTTTAGTTTAGTAAAAAGAATTGTTGTAAATTTAAATAATAATAATTTAAAAGTTAAGAGAATAATATCTAATAGAATTGTAGTTGCTTTGTCGATATTTGGGTTAGCATTAAAGATTAGGTTTGTAAAGAAGTTAAGACATTATCTTGCTATTAATTTAATAAAGTATTTAAAGTTACTTTTAGAAGTAGAAGTTTCTCCAGCTGCTGGCTTACGAATTTTTCTTAGTATAAAGTTAATAAGATTTGGTTTTAGAAAGTTGAAAAGCTTAATTAAGATTTGTATATTAAGTTAAGTATATTGTTCTATTTCTTTAGTTATAGCAAAAGTTTTGAACTAATTGAGATCATTTGAAGTATCTCTTTTGAGTAGAGATTTTTTAGTAAGTTAGCTAAGAGCAGATTTGAGTAGAGTTTTCTTTTGGTCAGCAGATATAAGACTAAATTTCATAAAATAATAGATGTTTTGTTGAGTTGGTATTAGAGGTTTAGATTAAGGAAGTAGTTTGATTTGAATGTTATTAACATATTCTAAGTGAATTAGAAAGCCTTTGAAAACAGTTTCAGCTTGAAGAGAGTGTTTTTTATTTGAAAGAAAAATATAGGAAGATTTTTTTTGTAACAGACTAGACATGTATAAATGTGATGAGAATAAGCTGTAATAGAAATTTGTTAGCTAAGAGGATTTAAGTTTGTAGAGGATGTAATAGTATTTTTAGTATCATAGTTAAATAGAAAGAGAGGTAACAAAGTTGTATTTTGTTTGATTAGTGATTTAGAAATTTGGTCTTAAAGTTTTTAAAATTGTTTAGATATAATATCTATAGGAGTAGGAGTATTAGAGCTTGGTGTAAGAGTACTAGATCTGGGGGTTCTCAAAGTATACTAATTAGAGGTGAAGCAAGTATAATATTTGTTGCAGAGACAATTAGTTAGAGAAGGTTAAAGTAGTATATAAAAGAAGTGAAGTTGTTTAGCTAGTATGCATTAAGAAAAGTTAAATGCAAAGGGCATTAGTTTGAGTTGTGTGAGATTTTGTTTGTATGTGACTATGCTATATCTATTATTTTACTTAGATAAAAAGTAGTTTAAGTTGAAAAAATTAGATTTGTATTGAATAATAGTAGATATATTAATAAGCTAATATGTTTGTTTTAAAACTTAGTATATAAAGTTTTAAAAAGTTTAATAATATCATATTTGATTAAGAATGAAGAAGCTTCTCAACAAGATATAGTTTAGTTTGCATAATATAATACTAGTTGTATAATCTACAAGATAGCTATTGTGGCTTGTAGCTAGTATAGCTAGTATAGTACAAAGCCTAATATATGCTATCAAGCTAAAAATAGTAAGATTTTATATTATGTTATACTAATTTAGAATTAATACAAATATATAAGTAATTAATTTATGTTTAATTAAAATTAGTTTAAAAGGGAAGTTTTGGTAATTGGTGTTATTTTTGGATAAACCAATAGATTTTGGTTAGTTTGTCATGTGATTAGATTCTAGGTTTGAAGAGAAAAGGGCAAAAGAATTTTTATTTTTTAGATTTTTTAGAAAAAAATCTTTAACAGGTTTTTCTTTAATAATTTGATGAGTTTGTTTCTGTTTTTTGTAAAATTTATATGTATATGGAGCTGAAAGTGAGCTAAACAAAACTTATTTAATAGCTAAGAGTTGTTATCTTAATAAAATTTGAAGAAAATAATAAAATTGTTTAATTAATTATTTAAGTAAATATCTCTATGAGTTTGGGTCTGAGTGATATAAAATTAAACTACTCTGAAGCAGAATTTTGTGTAGAACAATTTTGCTTAGTAGCCTAAAGGCAGTTTACTTAATAAAATATTTAGATATAAATAAATGTTTTTGAGAAGTTTTGGTACAAGTAATCTACAGAAAAAGTTAATGATTTGCATTTAACAACCCTTTTTATAACTGCTTTTTTGTAATGTTATTGAATTATTTTGTTAGATATATGTTTTTTTAGCTAGGATTATAATCACATATTATTGTTAATTAGTAAATAGTAAAAGATATTATCATATGAATCAAATATGAAATCAGTAGTAATAGATATATTTAAAATTAACTTTTTGTTAGAGGAGATTAATTTCTTTTTATTTTGCAAAAAAGCTGGCTTTATCATTTTTCTCATCTGCTTATTTTGTAGTATTTAGTAATAAGTTTATTGTTTGGCAATAAGTTTATTCATTTTACTGAACTGATAATTAGCTTACAAACAAATTTATTTCATAAGCAATTAAGTCACAAACAAGTTTATTTTGTAGACAGTTTATTTTACTAATAAAGTAATTTAGTTATTGTCATTAGGATTATATTTAGAATTATAATTAAGATAGTGCAAATTATGAAAAACTTGTCATGAAAATAAGCTGTTAGTAAAAAAAACTGTCTGTTTAATAAAATTATCTGTGAATTAATTATGAGCAAAATAAGCATATCTAAATTAATTGATAATAAATTGCTGATGAACTAGATTGCTAGCAAGATTATAATGATCCTTTAGCAACAGGTTTTTTATATAAAGTATATTAGTAAAGTTAGGTTTCATAACTGAAGTAGCAGTACAACTTTTTTTTTTGCTCTTGCTTTTTATAACATTTAGACTTCATAGCTACATGAATTTGTTTTTATAATAATTAGACTTTGTGACTGCAATAAAAATGCAAGAACCTTATTTATTAGACTCTATAGTTATAATAATAACGCAAAAACCTTGTTTTTGTAGCAATTAAACTCTGAGGGTGCTATAGCAGTGGTAAAGGAACTTACTAGTTAAGCTTTGTAGATATATTAGTAGTGTGAGAACTTTATGTTTAGGCATCATAGCTATAGTAGTAGCACAAGCACCTTTGTTAATTGGGTTGCAGAATCTGCAGCTACATAAAACATCAGTAAAAGATAAAATAAACAATATCTACTTTATATCATGAAACTAATTCTCTTTGTAACTATATAAAAATTTAAATGGCTTCCTCTTTATACTTAAGAGTTATAGAAAAATTTGAATTGTGTTATGAGTGTTCTAAGAGAAAACCTCAAACCGAATTTAAATTTATTATTTATTATTTACTAGTATTAACCATGATCTGAAACATACATGATATGTACTGAATTTATATATATCCCTGATTAGAGTTAAAAATAATAAATTTGAATTTCTAGTTTAAAGTTTTTTTTTGGCAGTAATTATGAAATATCTTTGATTAAATCTAATTACATTACGTTCCTGGGTTTAGCGCGACTATGTCGTAATCAATGATTATCAATTTATCTATATGATATGATACGATACAGTAGCTACTACGTATAGATACTATAAAAATGGCAGGTGTAGATCATTCCTTTTATATAATTACAAGGAAATGATCTCGATGTACCACAAATCACAAATAGCAAAAACATTACCACGACAAAATCTGATCCCAACAAAAATTGTATAGCGTTAACTTTTTTTTTTTTTTAAAAAAAAAATTTATTATGTACTCTCATATTTCTGTTTAGCAAGTTCCATCAATTCTGCAAATTCTCCACTGTTTTCACACATTCCTCTAAATATCCCATCAGGTTTTTGCAGCAGTAAGTATGGAGCATCAAATTCGACCACATTTCCAGCATCTAGTTTTGAAAAAAAAAATATCATTATTTCTAAAAGTAATTTTAAGGCTCTTTTTGTTTTTCTTCGAAAAATACATACCCATTACCATAACTCTATCATAATCTGCGACAGTTCGCAACCTATGCGCAATAGTGATAACAGTACTATCCTTAAACTCTTTCCTAATTGTAGTCTGTATTAAATAATCAGTCTTGAAGTCTATACTTGCAGTAGCTTCATCCATTATTATTAATTTGGAATGACGAACTAGTGCTCGGGCCATTGCAATCAATTGTTGTTGACCTTGAGAAAAATTGGCACCATTTTCTTTTACAGGTGAGTCAAGCGTTATTGGTTCTTGCTGGCTATTTTTCTGGTCTGAAAGAATATCTTCAATTTCTCCTTTTTCAGAAGTAGGGTGGCCTGTGGCAGAATCAGTAACTAAGTGTGCACGACAAAGCGCGTTCCATAAGTCTAGATCACTATGCACTTTAAATGGATCTAAGTTGCTTCTATTTTTATTTTTTTTAAAAAAAAAAAAATAAAGAGAATCGATAATTAAGTTTAATGAAAAGCCTTTATTATAAATATGCAGAATTGGGATCTTGTTTACCTTATAGTACCATTGAATAATACGGGATCCTGGGGTATGATAGTAAGATTTCTTCGAAGATCTTTTAACCCAATAGTACTGATATCAATATCATCAACTGTAATACTTCCAGAAGTTGCTTCAATAAATCTAAAAAATGATGTTGCCAAAGTTGATTTTCCACATCCTATTGTTAAAAAGGAAAAGTTAACATCCGTCTCGAATCTAAATAATTCTTAAATTGGGTTAAAAATTTACCAGTTCGACCAACAATTCCAATCTTTTCAGCAGCAATAATATCAAATGAAACGCCTTTCAACACTAAAGGGCTGTCAGGTCCATATTTGATTTCTAAATCTTTAACATGAACTTCTCCACGATTTGGCCATCCAGATGGTGGTCTCTTATCTGGTATTATATTATCGGCTTCTAATTCTAAATTTTCGCTGTAGTAGACTAAACGTTCCACTGAGTTCATATTTGCTTCCTATTATGTGACAATGAGAAATTAGACTTTTCAATATTACAACAATTATACAATAATAATAATTTATTATTTAACTCACGACTTCAGCAAATTGTCTAATACACCAATTAAAAGTTCCAGAAATTGCAAGCGCATAAGCCAGTACTACTCCGGTGATTGAAGGAATAATACTAAATCTAAATATAATTGCAAATAAACTTGCAAAAAATACTAAGGTATTTGCGATGCTATCAAGACGGACTGAAAGCCATCGTTGGATACATAATATGAGAAAGTATGCTCTATTTTCGATATCTAAGGATTTTTCGTTATTTCTATATATATATATTTAAATAAAAAATAAAGATTATTCACTATTATATTAAAACATATAATTATAATGCATAAAATTTAAAAAACCTCAAAAATCTTTGTTGTTCACGATAAGCGCGAATAGTCGGCAGTCCTGTAAGTGTCTCAGAAAAATGAGCATATAGCGAAGATCTCAATACAGAATCAAGACCTGTAACATAAGAATAATAAAAAAAAATTCAGATTTTTATTAAATCTATAATAATGACAAAAATCTATAATAATGACAATTACGTTTTAATTCACGATTAGACGATCGATAATAAAGAGCCGCTAGATAATAAAGAAAGATCAAAAGAACCAACGGAATAAAGAACCATACAAACACCACACTGATCAGAATAAATGTTCCAACAAGTGCTGCAAATGTATCAGCAAACATTCGATAAGATTCAGAAAGCAAGCTGTCACATGTATCAACGTCTTTACTGAATCTAATCATTATATAAATTTGGATTAGAAATATTAAAAATAGGATATTTAACGGTAAGTTAGACATGACAACTACCGATTAATAATTCTTCCTAAAGGTGTGGTATCAAAGAAACTTATTGGCGCCCTTAATACACGTTTAATCGCGTCACTATGTAATTTCCTTGCTGCTTTAACACCTCTGTCGGAAAATACGACACCGCACAAAACACCAAAAATTCCTTGGGCGACTCCCCATGCGCAGTAAACACCCATCTATCAATGCAAATTCACATTAATAAATAATTCAAATTTGATTCGAAGTATAATTTAAAAATTTCATGAAATTTAAAGATATTTACATAAAATCCTACAGATAAGTTAAATGTGCCGTTGGACCAAAAAGAAAGCCACAAATTATTTCTAAAAAGCAAGATTTTTAATTATTTATTTGATCAATTACAGTATATATGTAATACAATCCAAATGTCGATAATATACCCAATATTTGTTCCTTGCATCATAATAAGCAAGAAAAGCATGAGAGGTATCAATAAAAATCCACCCGCATTTCTAATATATGTAAAATATATTGAATTATCCACTGCTCCCGTTTGTCGTTCTTCTTTCGTCATTAATCCTTTGGACAGAAAAACTTTATCATCTTTGTCTTTCTCTTTTTCGTCTGGTTTTACCTCTTCATATTCTTCTTTTTCATCACCACCTTCTGTTTCGCCGTATTCAGCAATCAATTTTGAAAAGGCTTTACCATTTTTAATTAATTCCTCATAAGTTCCTTGCTCTGCTATTTTACCATCTTCCATACATATTATGTAATCGACTTGTGGTAGATAATGTAAATGATGCGTGACAAGTACCCGCGTCTTTTTGGCAAGTGCACCTTGAATACAATTTGTGAATAAGTACCTTCCAACGTGTGCGTCAACTGCAGATAATGGATCGTCTAATAACACGATTTCGGCATCATAATATACAGCTCTTGCGATGTTGACGCGTTGTTTTTGTCTGAAAAAAAAAAAGCAATAAATTTTTTTTAAAAAAATAATATATATATATATATATAATTATTACAAATAATTACATACCCCCCAGATAAATTAATCCCTTTTTCACCAATTTCGGTCATGTCACCAGCAGGCAGAATTTTTAGATCCGGTTCTAGGCAACAATCCTTAATCACTTGTTTATACTTTTCTTCATCAAACGGCAATCCAAAAGTAATATTGTCCCTGAGAGTAGCATTTTGAATCCATGCAGTTTGGGGACAATATCCGACTTTTCCGCCAAATATGATTTCACCTTTAATTCTTTTCATTTCACCGACCAGAGCAGATAATAGTGAAGTTTTTCCGGAACCTACAGTACCAATAATTGCAACCAACGTTCCACGAGGTATAGTAAAATTAATATCACAAAGGTGAGATTTTGGAGAAAATGGTTGAATATTTTCAAGTTTTTCCGGCGAATCAGCCGGAGTAAAAGTTGTAGAAGTGCCTGAAATCTCATCAGTCGGGGTTGGGGCTTTTTCATTAGAAATAACTTTAAATGGGTCACTTTCGTGATTGTCACTTTTTTTATTATTTTTTTTTGACTTTTTTTCTTTCTTATTTTTTTTTGTTTTATTAATGATTTCTTCTGGTGGGGCACTCTCCCAGATAAACTCTCCATCAGTAAGCCTAATGGCGCTTTTTTCGTTCGGATCTATATCAGGTAAAATTGATAATTCATCCGCCTGCAAAAATTCGCTTATTCGGTTAGCTGAAACATAGGCATCAGTGCTGGAAGCTAAAACCATTGGTAAGAACATTAAAGGTAATCGGAGAATGTTGAATAATGCCAACGAAGAAAATACGATGCCGGGTTCGAGTGTGCCTCCTGTCAATGAATACGTTATAAATGATAGGATAGTAGCAAATACTAGAAAGACCTAAAAGAAAATCAAGCATAAATAGGATTAAATAAGTACAACATTTTAAAAAATTTAAAAAATGTGTAAAAAATATATAATACTGTATTTATATATGATATATATATATATATAAGAAAATTACCATTGCAAAACCAGTAATAGTAGCTCTCATAATTAACAAAAACCTAATTAAACTAATCTCTTTCTTTCTTAACTTATTAAGAGAATCCCAAAAACTATCTTCCCAGGCGTAATATTTAATAACCCTAATACCTAACAAAACTTCTTGAGTCAATTTCACGCGTTCATCTGTAATACCCGCAGCCTTAACCCTTGTACTTGCCAACAAAGATACAAACTTTCCTTGTAAAGGACTCACCACCACCAACAATGCAAAACCAGCTAATGCTGAAGGACCAATATTTAGTATTAATAAACTTAACGCTATACAAATTTGAATAGGGGCAGCCCAAAGTATGTGAAAATAACCGCATGCGAAATCTATACGTGTAGTATCGGTTGACATTAAATTTGTAATCTTTCCTGCAGTGAACAAGCTTCGAGCTTTGCCGCTTATGACTAAAGCTTTCTGATATATAGCATTTATAAGAATGGTGTGAGAGAGGAAACCGGTTTCCATGGAGTGATAAAAGAATTGATTTTGAAAAATAGTAGCACCCATTTGCATTAAGAACATGATAACGATTAATATGTAACCAAAATATGTGGGCGGTTGTTCATCATTTTGAATGTTGGCATAGTAGGCTTGAGTGACAAAGTTCAACAATGCCTATCAAGAATATTAAGAATTCATTAGACGCGCGTCAGGTAATCACGTGGAAAAATAAACATAATACAAGGTGAAACATACTTTTAAAAACAAAAGTGAAGTAACTTGTAACGTATCACTAAACCATCTATAAAACCCTCCTAGCCAAAATTTAGCCCACAAAACTCTATTTAAAACTTTTAACAATGAAGGTTTCTTTCCCAACTTAATTTTTTGCATTTCTTTCTGCCACTCGACTTCGAATTCATCTGTAAGTTGTCTAGCCAATCTCGCATCATTCAACACGTATAGATCATCTTTTTCTAATGGACGTTTATAACCTAATCTCATGATACCATTGACCCACCAAAATGTTAGTGATGAAAATATGTTGACATTTGGTTCAGGGACTTCAAGGTTTGAGCTTGGGCGAGGAGGAGTTTTTGATTTTCCAAATATCATGATTGTAGAAATTATCACAGAATTCCCAATTAAAAATATTTTAATTTACATTGTTAATAATATACAATAAATGATTTATATATATAAAAATGTGCATAATATTATTTCTATTAAAATCGAATATTATAGAATAAAACATAAATCGTAAAAAACGCCAATAAATAATGCTAAAAATAAAAATAAAGAAACATTGACATTTTGACTTTATATATTTTAGAGTTCTAGTAAATGACCAATCGAATTAATAATCTGAAAAGAGTTTTAGTGGTTATTGTTGCAATTACATGATTATAATATAGAAGTAAAAAAGCCATAATTACAAAAATATAGAAGTAAAAAAGCCATGGTTACAAACTAAAAAATAACATTATATTACTTATCAAAAAAAAAAAAAAAAAAAAACAAAAACAAAAAAAAAAACAAACAAATTAGTACATTCATACAAGTATTTATAGAATTTAAGTTGCTAAACACAAAGTACGGTATCACTTTAATATATTACACGGGTGAAATTTACTCATCACTGATATAATGACTGAATTCTTAATTAAGTATTAATACTTTGTATAAAAGTTAACGAGTAATTCAAAAATGTTAACCGGTTCCCGGGAAATTTATATTGTTTATTACTGTACCACTATTTGGCAAAAAAAAACAAAATTTTTATATGTACTAAACAATTTGTGTTCTATATAGATGTAGATCGCTAAATTAGAATTTAATTTAACTGTTCGGATGATAACAAAATTTTACCGATAACGAGCTTAAAAAAAGGTTTGCGAGTCGGCCCTGACTTTTATTAAATCGATTTTCATATCAGTGTAAAATACAGTCTGACCTCTCTAAATGCAACCTCCCTAAATGCATATTCTATAAAAAAAGAAAAAAAACTTGTTCCATACTCATGATACATATAAATAACTTTTACTTCTCTAAAATGCAAGATTTTTAATATAGATCCCTTGGTTATGCATTTAGGGCAGTGTTGGCATTTGGACATAAAAATAATATGGAATATGGAAATAATAATGTTTTAATTGGACATCTTTGGACTATGTCCAAAACTAGTATAAAAAAAAAAAAAAAAAAAAATAGACAGTCCAACATGCCAGCACTGATTTAGAGAGGTCTGACTGTATATAAAATTATCCATCGAGTTTCAGTTAGGAGTGTACGATTTTAGAAATAAAATTCAATTGACCTGAAGGCAGAAAAGAAGCTCGTGAGAAAGAAGGCACAGAAATTGCTTTTTTAAGGGTTGGCTAAACGCGGTGCAGTTTTTTTTAAGGGAGTGCCTAAAGCCAGATGCCGTTTTTGCCTCGTCGGACTAACCTGGGACGATCAAACTTTACCATGCGAACGCACCTGGCTTCAGCCGTTTTTTTTTTTTTTTTTTTTTTTAGATAGTGTTACGAACTGGGGAGTTATCAAATATAGTTCAGGGTCGTAGCATAAAATTGTATTTATGTAGATTAAAAGAACACTAGGTAGTTGGTAATCTCATTATGACTTTCGAGGGTTATACCGTGGGCAGTGAAATCGATGAATCGATTAGTTGATCTAGTTGACAACTAATCGATTAAAAATTTTTGAGCCAACTAACAAATCGATTGAAAACTTTTTGCTAACTCAGATTAAAATACAAATTGAAAATCGATTAATCGTTAGTTACGTAACAATTAATCGTTTAAAAATGTTTGAATTCACTAATCGTGGGTTTTATGGTTGTAATCTACGCTTCTGTATGTAAATCGATACTATACAGTAACATGCATTAAAACCTGGTCGTTTTATCCCGAGACATCCATTGTATGATTATTACAAACCGATTAGTCAATTCTTAACTTGAGATTCCGACCGCGAACCGCAATTTATCCACTGTATCACCAACCTAAAACTCCTGCACACTAATAAAACTTTGCCTTGCGAAATTTTAATATGACCGCAGTTTCCTACTTTTAACTAACAACAAAAACCTTACCACAACCTATTAACGAAAATTTTTAACGGAACTTTAGGTTGGTAGCGTTATGGTCCTAGGAATATACATGTGTGCCTAAATTGCTCATCTTAATAAAAAAAATTATTACGGCATTTAGTCAGCCGAAATTAGTCTTTCATAGTTGTCAGAAATTAATTTTCATATTTGCGAAATTCATTGAACTCTTTTCATCAAAATACGTCGTGTAGTATAATTAATTCAGAGGGTTTCATATAAAAAATGTAACATGCCGAAATGTTTGTCGAAAACACTTTTTTCAGAAATAATTTAGGCGCACATCTATACGTACCTAGGAATCAACAGTCAACATAATCTGCGCAGGAATTCTATCTTTTGCGCAGTTTTACTCAGAAAAATATAGTATGGCGCAATATATTTATATATTCATATACGTAAAATTAGGAAATGATTTTTATTACTGTTACTATTGTAAATTGGGAGAGCAGACAACTTTGCACGGTTTAGCTCCAATAGTTAACAGGTACTGGGTTTAATGATCTAATTACAGCAATATCGGTGGGATATTAAATGTACTATAAATAAACTAATAACTTAAATGTGATCCAAATGTTGATCACAATACCAATAATAAAACAATCGTAACGTCCTAATAATGATTAACTCTATTAATAATCCTACTGGGTGTCGTTACTCGTGATAATTGAATCGTCTAATAATCTAAACAATGGCACTATTCGTAATGTTACTTCCTATATAACTCGTCAAGAATACGGCTCTTAATTACTCAGTGAAAGGTCTATTCGGCCTCAATGCTTACTTCCTTTATGTTAATTAAGAGGCCCAGCGTATTCTTTAATAAATAAATAGAAAAACGTAGTGAGGAATCGATTATTTAATTAGAAGTTTTTATATTTTTGGAACTTAAGGATTCGGGGTTTTTAAGGTAATAGTGATTTATTTTATTAATAGATAACTTAATTCGTAACTGGTAACTTGTTCTTTTTGGAAGGCAAAAAGGACTCCTATTTATACAAAATTCATTCTTGGGGGAAGATTATACTGATACTATTTAATTCACTTAATACCAAGATTATCCTTCTCGCTAGTGAGCAGTCGTGGTTAAGCCTCACGTAGTACAAAGCACACTGCTCACCTCTATGTTAATCGTTTTTACAAATTTATCATTATGGCTTAAACAATTAGCCCCAACTGCTCGCCCTAATGTTTACATTAACTGCTACCACGGTTCTTTTAACGTAAATAAGGGTACGAGCAGGACAAGAATATAAATAATAACTATTTACAGGAAGGAGAAATAAACAAAGTATAAAAAAAAAAATAAATAAAATAGAAAATAAATTTAACGAAATAAAACTAAAAAAATGTGATACGGAATGGGGTACCAATCTACAACCTAACATTATGTATCGTACCCGTTCAGGTTGTAATTTTAATTTCCATTCATTTGGCATAACAGGTTAATATGGGATGTCTCCAATTAAAACAGCCCATATTTACATTTTTAAAAAAAATGAGTTTTTATAAATTCATGTATATTTTGACATGATTGACATTTTTTAATTATAAATGAAAGTCGATTTGCATAATGAAAAATAGAGATAATGTAGAAGAATATAGAAGAAAGATTATACGAGGCCAAGCACATCACCCCATATAGTTTTTTTAATTTGCACATATATCAACAATCAATAGAAATTTGACTTAAGGAGTAAATCTTATCCGGTATCAAATCCTTATTCATTCTATGCATGTACGTATAAAATCACAAATTAAGAATTATAATGCAAACCACAAATTTTAATTTCTTCCAATTTAATATAAATTAATTACTCAAGTATATTGCGTCCCATAGCACAGTGAAAAGGTCTAAAGGGTTTTAGACGAATAAAAATTCCGATCATGCATTTCATTTTGGCCAATCATAAAAACAGTTACACGAATATCATATGAGGTGTGATCTATTAAAACAGCCCATTTTTACAATTTTTCAAAAATTTTTTTATTTGATTTTTGAATAGATA